CTAAGCCAGCAGGTGGACATCCCCCGAGGGGTTCCAGACTGCGAGAGGGCACAGGTCGGGCTGAGGGACCCCCCTGAGTGCACAAATTTTTGTGCACCGGGACTCTAGTTAACAATAATAAAAATGTCCACTGGGAGGGCAGATGACTGCCTGGAACAAGGAATGTCTGACATGGCCACTTGACTCAGCACTGGCCTAAGATTTATTGTCCCTGCTTGGAAGCCCACTACTGCTACTAACACATGGCTCAACATCTTGGCTCACTTGCTAATTTCTTTCAACTTTTCTTCCCTTTATAGATAATACTTTAACATTTGAACACATGTTATTGGAAAGCAAAGTAAGAACACCATCACTTCTCAGTATAAAGAGATATAGGCATTAATGTCACTTGAACATCTGCTGTATGTATAAGCACACATGTCCAATAAATAGATGCTACAAGGGCTTAAAAAAGAAAACCATATTTCATCAATCTAAGATGCCTTCAATTGTAAGTCACACCATTATTTATACTCTGGAGGAAGAGAACACATTGCCAATCACCTATGACATGACATAGATGGGTTCTGTTTTCAGAGATGCTAAAATGTGCATCTTAAAATCAGTCAAATAATGTGTGCCTATGTTATTATTTCTATTGCCAAAGTCAGTCTCTGATAGAGCATTTCTCTGTTATATACCAAACATTTCTTACTGGTGTCCTTGTTCTTGATGAAATGTAATTTTGCGCTCCACCCACTTTTCTTGCCATTCTTCCAGAGTTAGTATTCGGTTTTTCTGTACCTCAGTATCGGGGTACTCTTTAACATCAAGTGAAGTTCTTGTATCATCCATAGTTTCGTGGGTACCTTTGCTTTACAAGCAGATGTCTCTAATGCCTAAGTGGGAAATATTTGGAATGTTGACATTTAAGGGCACTGCAATTCTCTTGAAGAATGAAATAAAAACGATTCTCCTCAGAAGTATGGTTCTTAAAAAATATTTCAACATCACAAGAAAAGCCATACAAAAATTGAATTACATCTTAATGTTAGAGTAAAAGGTTTTAAGTTAAGAAAAAGAGAGGAGAAAAAAACAAACAGGCATTTCATACTTTATAACTTTTATAAACTTAAGATAATTTTTTCCATCATCTCAGTTACTCTTTAATTTAAAATTTGTAAAAAATTTATCTTTGTTGTTGAAAGTATTACAGATGTCCTCCTTTTCCCCCTCATTGACCTCCTCCACCCAGCCCAGAAACCTCTAGGCTTTTACCACACTATAGTCTATGTCCATGGGTTATGCATATATGAATATAAGTTCTTTAATTAATCTCCCCCACCTCCCTCTGAGATTTATCAGTCTGTTTCATGCTTCTATGTATCTGGATCTATTTTGTTCATCAGTTTATTCTGTTCATTAGATTCTATATATGAGTCAGATCATGTGGTACTTGTCTTTCTCTGACTGGCTTATTTCCCTTAGCACAATACTCTCCAGGTCTCTCCAAAGGGTAAGAGATTCTTCTTTATAAGAGCTGCATAGTATTCCATGGTGTAAATATACCTCATATTTTTAAATGCTTACTTCTTTTTTTAAAATCAATGTTACAATGCATACAATTTAAAGATTCAACAGTTATGAAAATAATAGCTCCCACTCCCAACCATCTTCAACTTTTATAGCTGTCTTGAAATTTAACTTTATATCTCAAAATAACAAGTTTATTTTGTATCTTCTTTTTTTTTACCTTAAGTATATGCATTTTTTATTTGTCAATCACATCTAAAAAAAGCTAAAAAAAACACACAAATAAATTATACACGAATAAGGCTTTATATTACATCATGGATTGTAATAATTATTTTGTATCATCTTGATTTTTCATTTCTAGGTAGCTTCTAGAGAAGATAAGCAGTTAGCCCTCTTTCAACTTCCCAACACACACACACACCCTTCGAATTTTCCCTATCCTTTCAGTAGCAGATTTTTGATTAAATATGCGGAGTACACATTGTTCTGACTCAGTAAATACTTCCCACAGCTTAGCATTCTGTAATTACTTTTACTTTGCTGTATAACTTTTTTATTCTGTAGTTAATAACTGTCTTGCTTTTTTATTTATAAAATTTCTATACAGTAGTTTGAATTATATTAGTATGCTATTATTGGTGGTTCTAACTTAATGATTTATTCTTGAGAATAGCAAACAAAGCATAAAAGCATAAAAAGGAAAAGTTCATTTTAATGCAAATTTTGGCTTTGATGTGCTTAGAATTTAAGAAAGCACATCCCTTGTAATTGGGAATATAAATTCACTTCTCAGCGAATATTTGTTAACAAATGACTTTTGCAAGGCTCTCAGAGTTTTTTGAGAGGTTAGCGTGAAGTATCTGATATCGGGTACAGAAAAGCAATGAATTGTTTTTTTATCTCCATGTCCAGTTGAAATTTTGGGCTTGAGATGTCACTAAGCAGTTCTCCACTTAAAACAAAAGGAAAGCATAATTTTATCCCAGAGGCAGGGCAACCTGGATTGTACAACTCTATCCCTCTCACACAACCTTGAAATGTAACTGAACTCCAGGAATATAACTTAATCACCTCTGAGAACATTAACAGCTTCTTAACTTGTCCATGTCCTTTTCTGGAGAAATAAAAAGTTTCGTTCTAAAATCAGATAAAACCGCAAATTATAAAAATCAGGAAAGGCAAGTTTCACTAGTATTTTCCCCCATACATGGAAATAGATGTGCTAGTTTGGTCGCTAATTTCTCTGTGGGTGGGCCCCCACCTTTAAACAAAAACATGTTACTGCTTTTTTTAAAAAAAATTTATATATAC